GCTTAAAATTAATTTAAAAAATAATAAACCGGAAATGACGTTTTAAAATAAAAATTAAAAAAAGTGGAAATTAAATTCTATTATTATTGTTATTAACATCCGGAGAGATTTCTCGTAGATTTTCACGTCGGCTTTAAATTCTTTTCTCTCTTTCTCTTTCTCTCTCTCACTCTTTATTTGGTTTTTTTCTGCTGACGCGATTATTTTACAAGTCGCGGGAAGGTTTAAAAGTAAAAAAAAAAATATCGATCAATTATTTTTGCGTTAGGTTTTTGAGTATTTTTTTTTAAACGACGAACGAGTACCGATTTGTGACGATGGTCAAATTTTTAGCGCCTTTTGCAAGACGGAAACGGAAATGAGGGGAAAAAAATTACTCATTGATTCAGGGTCGATGACGCATATACTTAAATAAATAATACTCTATCGATTTCGTCAATCGTTTTTTTTCACGTCTTGTTTTTTTTTTTTTTACGTGCGACGCCATTTTGTTTTATGATAAACACAGAAGTGTAGTAATCGTTTCATAGTTTCCGTTTCGAGTTTGTTAAAAAGGGACGGAAAAGTACGAATCGTTGCAATTTTTTTCCTTCCTCTTCCGGCATCGTGACGTAATGTTTGATGACGTCACTAATCGAAACGTTTTTCATTTGAATTTTTTTTTTTCGAACTTCCTCGACGAAATCGTGATCGGTGCATCCGTTAAACGTTTATTATTATTATATTTTTCGAGAATTTTATAATGTGTGTGCGTGTGCGCGTGTTTAATTTTCTAGGAAATTCTTTTTTGTGCGAATGAAAAGGAGGTCAAGTGCAATTGACAAAAAAATCAAACGAATAAATAAATAAATAGTCGCATGAACGACCGAACTCGAATTTTTCTTTTTTTTTTTTTTTTTTTTTTTTTTAAAATCAAAATGGCGGCGAAAATGATGATGAGTTTTCTTCTCTCTCTCTCGCTCGCTCTCTCTTTAATGTAAATTATTTTTTTAAAAAAAAAAAAAAAAAAAAAAAAAAAAAAAAAAGATGATGAAGAAATTTAAAATGTTAAATTTATCGTTTGAAGGAAAGAAAAAAAAACAAAAAAGATTTCAACTTTTTAACTCTAAGAGAGTAATTTTATTAAGTAGTAACACGGGTTAAATTTAACTTTATAAGTTTATAACTAACCGCCGCCACTTGTTCGTGATTTATTCTAGGAATGATACGGAAAGAGAGAGAGAGAGAAGGAAAATTTTTTTCTTTTTTTTTCGTGGAAGAAGAATAAAATTTACTACTCGTTCGAAAAGGATGAAAGGATGAAAGCTCCTACACAAAAAAAAAAAAAAAACGTTGCTGCTGGTTTTTTTTATTTTATATTTTTTTTCCTCCCCGGAAACGGAAACTGAAATTTCATTTGATTACTTTTATGCTATCATCATCATCATTATTATTATTATTATTATTATTATTATTATTATTATTAACGTCACTTTTACGCACGACAAATTTCGAGAGAGTGGTTGTTGTCAGAACCTTTTCCGCATCCTTTTTTCCATGTCTTTACAAGATTTGAAAAAAAAAAAAAATGTTTTCTCTCTCTCTCTCTCTCTCTCTCTCTCTCTCTCTTCCTCCCTTCGTAGAGCCTTTTTTTTTTCTTTTAATGATTTTCCCTGGAATTTGTTTCGTTCCAGTTTGGTTCAATTTCTTATTTTAAGTTTCCGGAAAATCCTTAACAAATTGTTGTTCATCGCACGCGGGGATTGTGGCATACGCACACACACATACGCGCAAGCGGGTTCTTCCAGTAGTCCCACCCGACGGCTGGAATTATTTTTCCAGTATTTTGAACTTTTACGAATCTTCTGTTCGTGTATTTTTTTCCCCCTTTTGTTCTTCTGCTGTTGTTGTCTTGTTGATTCTTGTTCAACGTCTTCTGCTGGGCACGTTTATATGAAATCGTTTGTTAGATTTTGGTTATCGAAAACTGTTTTCGAATATTTTTTGTCTCTCTTTCTCTCTCTTTCTGGAAATCCATTTTACTACAAATAATGGAGCTTCCGGGTAAATACTTTGAATTTATAGCGCTATATAGAAGAAAAGTTTCGGCTTATTAAGTTTATGAAAATTTTACCTTAAGTAAAATGGAGGCGTTTTTCGTAGGAAAACTAAGAAATGATGAATAATGCGTTTATATGGATGTTTTATCGATTTATGTGCGTGCGTGCGTGTGTGTTACCGCTTACATTCCATTTTCTTTTTTTTTTCACATAAATTTTTAAACGTAGAAATTTTTTCCAGACGTTTTCGCTGCTGCTGGTGCTCCCACGTTTACGATTATTTTTTATAGTTAAATTTTTATGAATTTTTTTTTTTTTTTTTTTTTTATACATTCGGTAGGGTTTTGATTTTTATATACGCGACTGTAATTTGTGGAGGATTTTATCTCTCTCCTCTCTCCCCCTCCCCTTCCCTTTTTTTTCTTACCGGAGAACTATGTAAAATTATAAAATCGTTTTCTGGAATTTTTTATTACGTTATAAAAAAAAAAAAAAAAAAAAAAAAAAAATTGTCGAGAGAGGTAATGCGAGGAGGGAGAAAAAGAGAGGGAGGAGAGAGGAGAGAGAGGGGATGTCCCCTAAAAAAAAAAAAAAAAAAAACTGATTTTTACGGTCGAATTTTTTTTTTTATTAGTTTGAAATCAATTTTTTTTTTTTTTTTATAATCTCTCTGTATCGCTGGTCCATTCTTTCTCTCTCTCTCTCTCTCTCTCTCTCTCTCTCTCATTTTTCACTTTTTATTCGTTTAAAAAACAAAAAAAAAAGTTTTGAGATTTTTGTTTTTTTTTTTTTTTAACTGGAAAAATTCGTTTGAAAACTTTTGGTTTTTTATTTTTTTTATTTTTATTTATCTCTGAAAGATGAAAAAGGAAAGGATGAGAGGAAATTTTAGATTTTCTGATTTTTTTTTTTTCCTAAAAAAAAAAAGAAAATGGAAAAAGTGAAGAGAGGGAGGGGAAGGAGGGAAGGGAGAGAAGAGAGGTAAGGGGAAAAAACCGGAAATGTATTTTTATTATTTTTCTATTTTAAAATTAATTACGTTTACTCAAGTTAAAAAAAAAAAGAAATAAATAAAAAAAGAAATCTCGTGATTAATTTTTAAAGATTTTAGGATTTGAAAAAAAAAAAAAAAAATTAAAAAAATTTCATCTCCAGTTTGTTTGTGTGGGGGTAGGGCGTGCGTGTGTGTGGGGACGTGGGGGTGCGCGCGCTCGCTCACATTATCATAATTAATTTGTGTGTGTGTAATTTTTTTTTTTTTTTTACTCTGTGGCTTTGATGATAAAAAAAAAAAAGGCAAAGAGTAAAAGAAATTAATATTTGCGAGGATGGGGGAAATGTGGAAGGGAGTTGGGGAAGAGGAAGGAGGGGAGGAGGTAAAACTTAGGGAAAAAATAGGGGATAATTTATTTTGATTCGTCAACTTTAATTTTTGATTTTTATTGAAATCCCTCTTTTAATTTTATTAATAATAATAAACTTACTTCTTTTTTAAATTCCTTTTAAGAAAATATAATAAATTACAAAAAAAACTCACTAAAAGAAATATAAGTAAAGCGGATGCAAAAGGAGAATTGGCTGATATTGAAAAAGAATTGGAAAAAAAAGAAGAAGAAATAACCGTCGTTATTAGTTTGTACAAAGAGGTATCGCGTCGTCTGTCTAACGATTTTCGCGCCACGTCTTAAAATTTATTGACACGTCTATTGTGACATCATTTCAGGTTTTGAACGTTAGAGATGATTTTAAAAAATTACAAGATAAATATAATTTATTAACTTACGGTAAACCTCTTTTTCTCGATGGTCTTAAACAAACGAACAGTGCTCACACACAAATGA